TCACATACATACACACACACACACACACACACACACACACACAAACTCTCACATCCACCCACACACTCTCTCTCTCTCACACACACACACACACTCTCTCTCTCTCTCTCACACACAGATGGGAGGGCAGGGAGATGGTAGGCTATTTTCTTAGCACTATTTTTCTTTCTTGAGGCAAAAAGCAGTTTTCAGCGCTTGTCTGTTTGTAAACCACAAATGCAAGTATGTTTGTTTGTGTGTGTGTGTGTGTGTGTGTGTGTGCGTCAGTGGTCGTACTCTCTGGAGAAGCCCAGCACTGGAAGTCTGTTCAGTCTGGCCTGGTCTGCAGATGGCACTCAGCTGGCCGGAGCCTGTGGAAACGGACACGTCTTGTTCGCTCACGTCGTAGAGCAGCGCTGGGAGTGGAGGAACTTTGAGATCACACTCACAAAGAGACGCACTATGCAGGTACACACAGCCTCCTGTGACGGCCGGCTCATATTGCACTTCACAATCTGAAGACCGAGGTGAAGATGACATGATGTTGAAGTGTGACATTATTCAACACATTTAACCCCCAAATTCTCATTATTGTATCGCACCTTTTTACTTACGAGTTTGTTTGGTCATTTCTATTTTTCTCAGTAATTCTTATTAGATTCTCACTGGTGTAATGAAATGTAATGTATACATTTAAGTTAGGGAACAGTGAATGAGGCTTTGGCTTTCAGTTGTCATAATGCAGCTCATAAATATGGCATTATGTGCGCTGAACATAATAACAAGGCATCATTCTACTCTCTACACCATTTGTAAAATGCCTTGTGCTGTTCTAAACCCATGTGTGGACTGCTCTCAGTGCTTACTACAGTACATTCTGATGCTTTTTCATTAGCTCATGAATTATAGATGTTTTTGTTAAAAGTAAGCTTTGCCTGATTTGTGAAATTCAGGTGAACCCTGAAGAGTTTAAATGTTTTCTTTAAATCAGTATCACAGCAATAACCAACATTTCCCCTGGTCTTCATGTTGCATGTGATTATGACAGGACATCAAAGGAGCACACATGCTTTAAACTTGAAAAATGTAGGAGTGCACAGACATCTTCAGGGGCAGTGACTCGAGACTCCGTAGTTTACTGGTGGTGTGTTTGTTTCTCAGGTCAGAAACGTGTTGAATGATGCAGTGGATGTTCTGGAGTTCAGAGATCGGGTCATCAAAGCCTCGCTGGCTCACGGTCATCTGGTGGTCACCACCTCTCTGCAGTGTTACGTCTACAGGTGCGTCTCCTGTCGTTCAGCCTGACATCAGTCAGTCCCTGCCCGCTCTGACGCGCTCTTGTGCCGTTTCAGTGCTAAGAACTGGAACACTCCGCTGATCTTTGACCTGAAGGAGGGAACCGTCAGTCTCATCGTGCAGGCCGAGAGGTGAGAGAGTCCAGCTCCGCTCTTAGCCTCTTCCACAGATTTACACTGAAAACAGCTGATGGATTTACACCAAAGAACCAGGAGTTAAACACCAGTATATCAGGCATTTAGCAGATATTTCTCTGTTCGCAGAGAAAAGTGCTTGAGCTTCACACGAGACACATGAGACTGACATAAAATGATGTAATATAACTGTTTGTAAGTTTTTACCTTGAAATATCAGTTTCAAAATCATTTTGATGGTACAGTGACTTCTAATAAGATGGATGGCTTCTGAAGTGTCTGTTTTGCATGTGTAAGTTCGGCAGATTGCTTTAATGCATATCGCCAGCTATTCACTGTAATTAGCACTGTGATATATTTATTAACCCTAGGGCCTCTAAAGTCACAAAAATACACAAAACTATATACAGTTGCTTGCATAAAGGTATAACTTAATGCACAGATACACTTTTAATGCACAAAATTATACTTTTGACCAATGCAAAAAAAAAAAAAAGAATTTTTTCTCAAATTATATTTATGGTTTGGGTCAAATCTTAAATTTTGATTTAATAACAAAAATATTTCCCAAAGACAAAACCTTTAATTCAAAGATTATTTACCATAAGGACCATACTATACTTAAAATGATTTCTTTAGACATAAACATAATGTAGGTCAATATAAAACATTTTTGGATTTGTATTAGTTAAAACTAAATTGGCTGTTATATGAAAATAGTAGACTAAATAAAACTAAAAATATTGAATGTAGTTTACTTACTATGAATAAAGGCAACTTTGAAAACCCTTAATGTTAATTCTGATGTCTTGATCAGGCATTATATTTTTATTATGTGCTTAAAATCCAGAAACATGTATAAACCCCGCAGTAATGTGTGCAGTCAGTAACTCTAGCCAGCACGTGTTCTGCACATCAACACTCAAGCTTAAATACTACTTAAACAACATTGTTTCTTTTCATTTTCTTCCATGGTTATTTGCTTTTAGACAAACCAAATTAAAGAGTAGTTTAAACAAAAAAACATGATTTTGATTAGACCAATGTAACAATGCACTTTAACTAAATGGCACGGCTCTCAGCATCAGGAGGAGCTTGATTCAGAGTTATTTTGGAGAATGATGATTTACTGCTTTTGTCTCTCTCTCTCACACACACACACACACACACACACACACACACACACACACACTGTCTGTATGTTCTTCTGTGCAGGCACTTTCTGTTGGTTGATGGAGCAGAGCTGTTTGTGTACTCGTATGAGGGCCGTTTGGTGTCGTCTCCCAAGAGTCCCGGCATGAGAATGGACATCCTGAACTCTCAGTCCATCTCTCTGAGCAACGACACCATCGCCATACGAGACACAAGCGACGAACGAGGTGCTGCCTCACAGCATTCAATCACTTACACACGAGATCTCCTCAGATCTCTCACAGTGCTGTGTGTGTGAGTGAGTGCAAGTTCATGTGTGTGTGTGTGTGTGTGTGTGTGTGTCTGTGTCTGTCTGTGTGTGCGAGCGCTGCCTCACAGCATTCAATCACTTACACACGAGATCTCTCACAGTGCTGTCTACATCATGTGGATCACCATTAATACATGTGTGTCCGCCAGCAAGCCAAACTAGCTGTCGCAGCAACATGTACTCAGGCTGTTTTCAGTTAGACGGTTTTTAGTATATACTGCGGGTAAAATAAGTATTGAACACATCACCATTTTTCCCAGTAAATATATTTCTAAAGGTGTCAGGGTTGGGGATGAGGCGAGGACTCAGTAGTGCAGAGTAATGGGCTTATAGTAAAATAAAACAAACAAACAACAAAAACTACCCCGTGGGGGAAAAACAGGCTGGCAAGGCAGGATCAGGACACGACACGACACGACAGGATACATTCAATGGTGATACGATGACGAACTGGCCCGGGACTGCAAACACAAGGAGAATAAATGGAGAGCAAATGAGGAGGGTAACGAGGGAACACATGTGGGGCAAATTAACCAATAATCAGGTAACAAGATGGGTGGGGTCAAGACAATTGACATGAGAGCACATGGCACACAGGAAACAAAGACA